GTGAAGTCCGCCAACCCGCACTTGGCCAGCGTGGTGGACTATGGCCTGATCCCCTCGTATTGAAGGAAGGCCCGTGCCCAGCAGTGGGACGTTAAAAAGGGCTGAATACAAAATACAATGTTTGTGTACAAACTTGTGCACTACATTATATCCCGTATAGATTCCAGCTAGATTGGCTGTTGTAACCGAAAATCCTTCAGGAGCAAATTCTTATTGGGTTTTGTCAAATAGAATAAAACAGAAGACCGATAGAATTATTCGTGAATTTAGTTTACTATTTATTATACTTAACTTTACTATTATATACTATTATTATTTATTACTGCTTCGCTCGGGTTGTTTCCCCATACAAACTTTCATACCTATTTTCACCCCATTAAGGGATGATTTCCGGGATAAATGTATCCTATGTTCTTCCCAGGGTCTCAAACTATCTTCTTACCAAATTTCATCTAAATCGGTTCAGTAGATCCAGAGATTACCCCCTACAACCTCACAAACTCACAAACTTTACCTCTTTATAATATAGGTATAGATATTTTTTTAAATAAGTATATCGACGCAACGCTAACTAAACTCACGAAACTACAACAACTGTAGAAACTTATTACTTAGAGATATAGATTTTAGAATCATGTTTATTCATGTATATAGAGTTCAGGACTGAGGGGTAGGTACTTTATATTTCACTCAAATATTGTAATAAGTTATGACCAAGAGTGTGTTTAGGATACGAAATAAAATCTTCTTTTATTTTCTAAGATTATTCAACCCTTAACCTTCATGCCTATTGGTCATTGGTGAACCGATTATAAATTATTGTCAAATGTTTTAAATTACTTCTAATGGCCACGCTTTTAATCTATACATATAATAAAATTGTAACTAAGTCGAATCTGTACATTAAATATTTTTTGAACATCTTAATGAAATAGACATGATTATCAATACAGAGGCCAAATCTTGTTTTTAGAATTTTTGTTTGTCTGTTTGTTTGTCTGTTACCGCATCACAGAAAAACCATTGGAGGGATTTTGAAATCTGGTGAATGAAATTTGGTATGGTGATAGCTGGTTATCCGGGTCAACATATAGGATACTTTTTACTGCGGGAAAATGTCTCATTTCTGAGAAAAAATACAAAAACTGCAATGTAAGAAGAGTATACTAATATGTAAAACCTAAGAATTTGGTTTTTGGTCATCGGAACGCGGGCGGAGCCGCGGGCAATGCTACTAGCAAGTATAAAACTTATTAATTTTAGCTGTGGCATATTAATGTACATAAAATATTTTTTTATAATAACTTTTATTGTTGCTAAAAACAATTTTTTCTTAACATCAACTTATAATAAAACATAATAATGTTATAATACAGAAATTAAAAAGACTCATTTTAGGTAGAAACTCCAAAACACCTCATTTAATTTTTAAAGTTATGTAGCTTTGTAGTTTCAGAAAATTCCGGTAGATGTCACTACAAAACGGGATAATGCAAGCTGGGTAAAATATATTTTTATTTCGACACAAATAAATTTAATTTGGTTCTAAATATTTTAATATTAAATAACGCACTTAAATGATATAGAATATTTAATATATTTATGTTGCATCTATAAACTTGTGACTTGTGAATCTGTGGTTTTCCTAACAAAATGTCAGTTTGGCTCTAACTTTTGCTACGTACAGTAATGTAGGAGCTTATTCCGGCCTGAAGAAAAATAAACACGTACGCCGTAAAAATTTATACGGCTTCAGCGTTAATTAAAGTATAAAATAATAAGATTTCACCGTTATTAAAGGTAAGAAAAGTAAATTTAATTACTTATTCACTTTTAAAAACTTTTATTACAAGTGTGTTATTATTTTATATAAACAGTGCTTTACCTAACTTATACTTTATATTGATTTATTAACTTGATTAAATTAACAATATTAAATTTTTAAATAAATAAATAATTATTAATATACTTTTTAGTTTTTACATTCCAATTAAAAAATGTTTATAATAATTCAAGTTTAAAAATGTCTACTATATTTTCTGTATTATTTTAAATTGATAATTACTAGCGTGTAATATTTTTATTCAAAAAATATAGTGAACTCACTTTTACATATTTTTTACTAATTTTATGAGATAGGTACAATATTATTATGAATTCAAAACTGTAGTGTACACTACACAGTAGCGCCATCTATTGTAGAGTAATAGGTAGCGTACTACTACTCAAACCTTTCAAACGATACTTGTATAATAATGAAACATTTCCCGCAGTCTTTAACAGATGGCGCTGTATTTTTTTATTTTTTACTAACTTCAAAAATGAAGAGGTGCTTAAACTGATTGGAGTGTACTTTTTGATATCTGTTACGCGATATCCACGCTTATAATTCGATTACAAATCGATTTATATGATTCTTCTTAGTAAATACATACGTTTTATTACTTACTGTGGAATAACTTAAAAATGCTTTTGAAATCGGTGTATAGATTAAATTTAATTTTATAGACAAATATTAATTTTACATAAAATTATCTTTTTAAGCATTCGAAAGCACTTAAGCATGCGAACCGTCAGGATCCAAAAATCAAAATAAATCCGCGAGAAAACTTGAAAAGACAGTTTTATTTAAAATGTCAAATATTCGCAAAGTATTCAAATTAATTATTTATAAAATCGATATTATTCGAATAAAACGTTCATCATAAGAAAATATTATATTACATAAAACATAGCCATCTTTTCCCACATACACCTACCAAATCTTTGACATCACGGCATAAATCGAAAATCTTGAAAGCTAATATAAAATGTAATAAACGGTCCCAATGGTTTATACGTAATAACACCAAATGAATCCATTTGTTCAGTCTTCCGAAAGAGTGATTCTAAGATAAAAAATGCAATATTATTCTCACTTCAAAGTAGGTATTTCTTGGTAAGTAAATGAGTTTTCTGCCAGAGGAAAATAAACAGCCTTATAAAGCGTAATGAAGGATGAGATGCGATATTGTATTGGATTGACGTCTCAAATAATTGGCCACCATTTTTATTAAATAATATCATACCGCCAGTAACAGAAACAGTTCTTTTATATAAACCATATTTTTATATATTTTATAATATAATATTAACTGCCTCGGTGGTGTAGTGGCTAGCATGTACGGCTGCACATGGGACCTCCAGGGTCCTGGATTCGAGTCCCGGGTCGGGCCAAGTTTAGTTACTGAGTCTTTCTGTATAGTAAGTCTCAGTAACAGCCCGGAGATGGGAAGTTGGTGGTGTTTCACCGCCGTGCCTCGGAGAGCACGTAAAGCCGTCGGCCTGCGCCTTAACTCTCACCGGTCGAGTCGAGCAGTCGTCATAGGAATAGAGAGTGCACCTGTGTCTGCGCGTAAACTTGAGCACTATAATATCTCCTGCGCAGTTGGCTAATCTCAATGAGATTGGCCGCCGTAGCCGGAATCGGCTAGGAGAACATCAATATAATATTACATATTTAGTAGGGACTTACCCTCGCTCTTCCTCGGGCGCATTTTTAAATGTCTTTTGAGTTTATAATTTAACGAATATATATTAAAAAAGCAGCGGCTCTTTTTGTCAAATTTTCACTAACGGTAGGTTATGTAATTCGTTCATGGTTATGTGTTACTTCAGATCATATTGTATCTGTATAGGAAATTTGATCCAAATCGGTCCAGCCATTTTAGAATCAAGGAGTAACAGTAGAAGTGTGATATGGGATGATAAAAAAGCGTAACTTACCTGACATTGATATACTAAAACCCAAGATACACAGTCAGAAAGTCACACTACGACGCCACTTTCTGTAGACCTTTAATATATCAACTAGCGACTCACCCTCGCTCCTCCCTAGTTACGTTTTAACGTTTAGTATAGATAACTCAGCGATGAGATATATTCCCGCGGTAAAAAGTATCTTATATGTTGTCCCGGCATTATATATCACGCCGGATAAGCGAGCTACCATATAGCCCCATATATGGTTTTTTTCTGCATTGTAAATAAAAGATAGCAAGAGTACGTTCGAGCTTGCTATTTGTTGCTGAAAAAGTTCTTTATCGTGCTCACGGTTACAAAGCTTACTAAAAATGAACGCAAGTTCCAATAATATTTTCATGTAGAATATTAAAGTATCGGGAATTTTCTCCGGAAATTTTAAATGTATAACTAAAACCCTACATACGTTGGAATAACTATGTACATATTACTTAAGTGACTATGTTGGAGACAGGAAAGAATCTTTTATTAATCCCTTAATCACTAGCTTTCACCTATGACTACGCTCTCGCGTTTCGCGATACATTGTAAACAAATAAATATGTTGGGACATTAACACACAGCACCATCTAGTTCCAAGTTAAGCTATGAGGCCTGTGTTATGGATACCAGATAGTTGATACACTACACAATACACATATAACTTTTAATACACACACATTATAAATATAAACACCCATGAATGGAATAAAAGCATTCAAGCGAGCACGAACATGCTCATCACACAAATGAATGCAGGACTCGAACCCGCGACAGCTGCTGGCACAGCATGTAGGGTGGATCACTAGAAACTGATCCAAACGTGTCGAAATTATAAATTCTATTCGTCAGTAATAGTCTCATATCTATACTAATATTATAAAGAGGTATGGAGATAGCTAACCAGCTATCCCCATACCAAATTTCATCAAAATCTGTCTAGTAGTTTTCACGTGATGCGGTCACAGACAGACAGACAAAAACTCTAAAAACTATAGATTCGGCATCTGTATCGATAATAATGTATATTTCAATAAGATTTTCCAAAAAATATTTAATGTACAGATTCGACTCAGTTTGAATTTTATTATATATGTATAGTATATATAGAATACCTATAGATATTAGCTTACTTAACAGTTACGAGTATTTCTAAGTTCCTGAATAATATTAAATATAGTTATTTTGTTTCAGAGCGAAAGCGCGACTAAACTTCCAGCATGGTAAAAATTTTCTTCTAAATATACATTGTTACAGGTTATTATAGTAATATTCAAAATTTTACCAAAACATTGTGTTTCAGTATGGATTCGTGAATTACGCTCTCGAATTGCTAGTCACCAAAACCTATGGGGAAGAAACATGGGAGAAGATAAAGTAAGTATATTAACATAATTTATAAACATAGCTTACCCATGCTACCGGACGGGATGTCGGTGAAACAATCAGTCCTAAACCTTCTTTTTTAGGGTTCTATAACCAAAACGAAAATAAGTAAGGAAAATGCAAGCCTTATAATTTCGTCATGTTCGTCTGTCTGTATGTAACGAGAAAATAGGGAATAAGCGTGGTTTTTTTTTATATTATAGCTTACATCGTTATATAATTGTAAAAAAATATTCAGCTCCGAAAAAACTAAAATTTAGTACATTTTTTTTAAATATCCAATACGAATACTTCAAACGTTTGTCATTTCGCGCGCTTGGCGTTACATCACAGTATCAGCAACACAGAGAAATGACGACTCAATTTGTAGCGAACAAAATCGCTAATCGTTCTGTTCTGATATATTCTGGCGTCATATTCGGTCTGACCAATGTCGTTTCTTTCAACTATTTTGATTTTCCACCTATTTTTAATAATTATTTTCTTAATCAAAAAGATATTACATTAAAAATATTACTATAGGCTTAATTCAAAAGCAATAAAGATTATTAAAAAAATACCTTTATTTAAATCACACGCATATTCCCTATTCTGCACTCAAAATACGAATGATAAATTGCATTAGATATCCGTGCATGTATTACAGAGGGGTGAAATAAACATTTTAAGGCCGCATGAAAGTGGGTTATCTCTGAAAGCTTTTTATTTCAAAATTATAATAAAGTTTAGGTTAAGACGAACACACCGACAGACAAAAATAAAAAAAATGATATTAGTGACTTAGCGACTTTGAAATGATGAGTGAATGATTATTATTATCTATAGAAAATAGAAAAAAATATACCTATCTTCCTTTTTGTTGAAAACAGTTAAATATTTCAGTTTTATTTATTAGTATAAACTATAGATACGTTGGTAATAGGTTATAAAATAAGTTCTAAAATAAAACATGTTCTAAACTAAAAAAATAACAGGAAGAAGGCTGAGGTCGCAATGGAGGGATCGTTTTTGGTGAGGCAGATATATGAAGATGATATAACATATAATTTGATAACCGCTGCTGTTGAAGTTTTAGGTAAGTAAGATTAAGAGCAACTGTTGAGTTTCTTGCCTGCTCTTCTCAGCAGAACTGCTTTCCAGGCTGGTACTAGCTTCCTCACGGGCTGACTACACTGACGCTTACATAAATTGATGATTCAAAAGCACTTGCAATAAGTCTAATTGTATAAAGTTTATTTCATATATTAACTAGTAATTTTTAACATACTTAAAGAAAGAAGTAGGTGCCTTTGCTATATTTTTATTTGGCTATATTATCGCCAATCTTAAAAAATATTGTAATGGAATGAAAGGAAACCAATAAAGTTATAATAAAAATAGTTTTTAATTTCAGTGTAAATGGAGGAAAAAATCTAAGAAAACAAACCAAATATATAAATAACTTGCTAACTGCTTTTTTACAGAAAAACCGGCTGATGCCATTTTAGAGTTGTTTGGGATGACTTTCTTTGAATTCTGTCAGGATTCTGGATACGATAAAATCTTGCAAGTACTCGGAGCAACGCCGCGAGACTTTCTTCAAGTAAGACGTGATGAATATTTTATTTTATTTGTTTGTTGTTGTGTGTTGTTGTTGTTGTTGTGTGTTGTTGTTTTAGTTTGATTCCCAATACAAACTTTCATCCCCATTTTCACCCCCTTAAGGGATGATTTCCGAATAAAAAGAGCGTGGGCTGTAACTAAAAAAAACTTAACATAAAACCCCAACAACAATATCTGATCCGAGACTCGAACTCAGGTCTCTGAATCGACTTCCAGATTTGACCGTACATGCTAACTACTAAACGAGGCGTTTAAAGTTATTTTTATATATACAATTTTTGACAGAACCTAGATGGCCTTCATGATCATCTGGGCACACTTTACCCGGGGATGCGAGCCCCTTCGTTCCGTTGTACGGAACGTCCGGAAGATGGAGCATTGGTCTTACATTACTACTCGGATAGGCCTGGCTTGGAACATATCGTGATTGGTATTGTCAAGGTTTGTATTATATGTATTGTAAATAAAACTATATTTTTGGATTATTTCGTGGATTTATTTTGATTTTTGGTGCCCGACGTTTCGAATGCTCTACAGCAGTCATGGTCACGGGAGAGACTAAGGTTATAGACTTCTCAAACATATTATATACTTGTTACAGACAGTGATATAGTATGTGCTATAATTATAATCTCTTATAGACAGTTACAAGTAAACTACACAAGACTGAAGTGAAAGTGGACATCCTGAAGACCAAAGAGGAATGCGATCACGTACAATTCCTTATAACAGAAACGTCTAACCCTGGACGAGTGTCGGTACCAGAAATAGCTGAAATCGAAACTTTGTCGCTTGGTAAAGTTAAAAATATATTTTATTTTCTAGAATATTCTTTAGATATATTAATTTCTAGGCAAAGTTAATATAATAAGTAGTGTTATATTGATTTAAATACGTATGTATTTTAAATTTAATATACATTTTTTTAGGTTTATGTATGTATGTATGATTAGATATCTATAGTAAATGAAGATCTCCTTTCCGTTAGTTTTTACTTTTTAGTGCAAGCAAGACTTTTTTGAAGTTGGTTTAATATTTTTAATTAGATATATATTTTTAAAAAAGCATTACTGTTTGGCTCAAAAATAATAATTTCCAGAGCCAAAAGTAAGTCCGGCGACGTTTTGCCGGGTATTCCCCTTCCACTTGATGTTCGACCGCGAGCTGAGCATCGTGCAGGCGGGCCGCACCGTGTCGCGCCTGCTGCCGCGCGTCACGCGCGCCGGCTGCAAGATCACCGATGTTTTGGATACGGTATGTTATATTTCTTGTTGTTTTGTTTTTATTTAGATGAATAATTCATCAGATCCAGCCCACGAAAACCTTTTTTTTAGTCACTGTCATAAATAGCACGTAACATGTCAACTTATGTACAGAAAGTAGATAAAATATTTACCCAATATTTTAGGGGAATTTCAATAAAAACGACGTTCTTGTTATTTTGATATACCAATTTTACTAAAACTCCCATTTTCTCAAAAGTAAATTTTTGTGGTTGTAACAATTTGGCATAACTATGTACGTTCAATTGTAAGAAGTATTTATATTGGTATCCCTCTAGCAATAGTAGCCCAGTGGTAACGCGCTCGCTTGGTAAACCTAGCGAAGCTGGTTCAACTTCCGGGTCTCGCACCTCTGATATTTTCATGCGCGATTTATTTCGAACATGATTACCACTGCCTTACGGTGAAGGAAAACATCGTGGGGAAACCTGATGGGGGTTCTCTCAGATGTCTGAGAGAACCTAGCAAGTTTTCGAAAAATATGATCCATCCGCACTTGGCCAGCATGGTGGACTTTGGCCTAATCACCCTCGTACTGAAGGTAGGACTAAAAAGGGCTGAATATATCTCAAATATCTAGATATAATCTGTTGATAAATTAGATAAATAAAAAAATGTTTTATCATCGCTGTAAATATCCAAAGATAGGCTGTTGTTAAACTTTGTTAAAAAGTTTTTACTAAAACAGAAAACTTCATATTAAATACAATATTTTTATATAACTTATCTCAAGGTGAGACCACATTTGGAGATGACGTTTGCGAATGTACTCGCCCACATCAATACGGTGTACGTGCTGAAGACCAAGCCGGAGGAGATGACGGTCGCTGATCCTCATGATGATATTGCATCTTTGCGTTTGAAGGTGACCTTTAAAATATTATATTTTCCAATGTTCTCGTCCATATTCCTATGTATCGTGCAGATATCTTCTTTTTAATTAATATTGTATAGCGGCGAAGGCGCTCGTTCAGTAGGTTATTATTTATTTATTTATGTACCAAACATGTATTTTATCTATACCAATATTATACAGAGGCAGTTTGTTTGTTGTTTGTTTGAACGCGTCGGGCAAATTTTCATATATATTATTGTAAAGTGAAAGAAGAGTTTGTTTTTTGTACTTAGTCTATACTTAATATTATAAAGAGATAAAGTTTGTGAGTTTGTGACGTTGTAGGGTGTAAGCTCTAGATCTACTGAACCGATTTAGATGAAATTTGCTAAGAAAATAGTTTGAGAGCCTGGGAATGACATAGGATACTTTCTCCCTTATCTCGGAAATCATCCCTTAAGGGGGTGAAAATAGGGATGTAAGTTTGTATAGGGAAACAAGTTAGGGACGAACACGAGCAAAGCGAGGGTGAGTCGCTAGTACAAAATAAAGTAACAGAATGTCGACTGACGCTATCTCTTTAAGAGAGTTTTTCCAGCAAGCCCTCAGAAGTGAGAAAATAAGTTATTTAGTGCGGTGTAGGTACAATACAGCATTAAATGGTATAAACTTAATATTAAAATATATCAACTAAATATTATAATCACACAAAAATCGTCCATCATCCCTTAGCGACAATTCAAGTACCACAACGAGATGGCGCTATATGACATTGTCTACATGAGAGCAAATAGAAAAAGGCTCTAATATAATAAGTAGTTATAAAAAATGTCTCTTTTTCTGAAAAATTGCGTTTTTTTTTAGAAAAGGAGCCTTACAAAAGATTTATAGATAAACTTAAAAAGCTAAATTTTATCTAAATACAAAAGATCCAAATCGTTAGAGCCGTTTCCTCGATACGTAAAATAAATTTATATAGAAAAATTGCGCATTTAGTTTTAATATTAAGTATGTAGATTGTAAGTGATTGCACGTAATTTCTGATCCGATTTAAATTTAGAAATTCCTCTCTTAAAAAATCATTACGTTTAAAACGATTTTTAAGATAGTTAACCTGTTAAGTTAAAAATAATTGTGTTATAACACATATTTTTTTTTATTTTTAGGGTCAAATGCTGTACATTCCAGAAACTGATGTTGTGGTTTTCCAGTGTTACCCGAGTGTGACGAATTTGGATGATTTGACGCGGTATAGACATACATAATATTTAAAATAAATTACCTTTACTTAAAAATATAATAAATTATATATATAAACTTTATTTACAATGACTTTCCAGTGAAAATCTCTAGTAGAACATATAAACAAAAATTATTAATATTATTAATAAAATGTTAAAAATGATATATTATAAAAGATAACTAATATCTTTAATATAAAAAAGATATATTTATTGTGTACTACCTAACATTTTATTTATATATTTTCAATAGCACAATAAAATCGTCCGTACGTTCTACCGATTAATATTATGCGATATTAAGAACGCCAAATGCGTTTGTTATAATGTCCTGAATAAACACATATAACCTTAATCTATATTAACGACCCTTTAAAGCAAGCGGAGACACGGGTATTAACTAGTTTATCATATTTTCAGTCGTGGACTCTGTATCTCAGATATACCTTTACACGACGCGACAAGGGATCTAGTGCTCATGTCCGAACAGTTCGAGGCGGACTACAAGCTAACACAAAACCTAGAAGTCCTAACGGATAAGTTACAACAGACTTTCCGTGAATTGGAGGCTGAGAAACAGAAAACTGATAGGTATAGTTGGTCCACTTATTTTCTTAGGATTGTGCGTATTTTGATACTTTAAATATAACTGTGTTTTGATTCATTTTGATTTTTGGTTCCCGACGTTTCGAATGCTTTACAACCTTAGCAGTCATGGTCCCGGGAGTCTCACGTAAAAGTTCTTGATTTTTGTTTTGTCGTGGCCATATTGCATGTTTGATTAAAACTTTAATTTATTACAAATTCTTTGTTAATACGGCCAAATGAGGAATGACATCTTTAGAGTTAGATGAGGAACTTCATTCGGCAATATCAACATAGCATGGTCCGATCGAATAACAATCAGATATTAAAAAAAATTATAAACCAAACGTTAAAATAATCTGCTTCTTCACACTAAAAAAAAACTTTATTATAAATATCTGTTTACTTTTTATATTTACGTCATTCTTCTACAATCGATATCGCTAATAGAATATATATAAAATAACTAGCAGACCCGGTCACGCGTTTCTGTGGCACACACATGAAAATCATTAACTTTTCAATAAAAACAAGAATATAATTGGGATAAAAACTATCCTATCTTTAAAGTTGGAACAAATGACACTTTTTGGAAAAGTATATTAGGATCAGATAAGTAAGACTGGACCAACATCGTGACACGGGAATTTTATATATTACGATATTACATCGAAATGTATGTCATTTCGATTCCTTCATATTTCTATTAGCTATGACAGTAAATAATAAATATGTTGGGACATTAACACAACACAGTATCTAGTTCCATGGTAAGCTACGAGGCTTGTGATATGGATAATAGTTGATACACTACATATAATATATAACTTTAAATTCATATATATTATAAATATAAACACCCATGACTGGAGTACAAACTATAGTGCTCATCACACAAATGAATGCCCACAGCGAGATTCGAACCCGCGACCGCTGGCACAGCAAGTAGGGTCACTACAAACTTAGCCAAACGTGTTGTCAAGGAATAAAGATAAGTACTAAGAATAAGATAGTAGAAATAGAATATTATCTTCCAGGCTTCTATACTCAGTGCTACCAATAAGCGTAGCGACAGAACTGCGTCACTGCCGGCCGGTGCCCGCGCGCAGGTACGACCCGGTCACCTTGCTCTTCAGCGGCATTGTGGGGTTCGCCAGCTACTGTGCCAGGAACATCGACCACAAGGGCGCCATGAAGATAGTGAAGATGTTGAACGATTTGTATACGGCGTTCGATGTGCTCACAGATCCTAAGAGAAATCCGGATGTGTATAAAGTAAGTAGTATTATTAGGTTATTGTCACGACCATGGTCGCTAAGGCCTGAGGTCATGACCATACTGTGCAAGGAATATCGACCACAAGGGCGCCATGAAGATGTGTTGAGCGATCTGTATACGCCATACGGCGTTCGATGTGCTCATTTATCTTAAGAGAAGGTATTCTCGAGTATTACTAGTTTATTGGTTATGACTGTGGTCGCTAATGACTATGGTCGTGACCATGGTCGTGATTACAACCATTATGGTAGCGATTATTAAGACGAAGTCAGGGTGTATATTTTATGAGAATACTAAGAAACTTCTCCTTCAATTTTATATACACACGTGCAAATGACACTTCTCTTTACTAAATCTATATGATCTATATCTATGTCAAGATTTATATAAAGTGAATCACACCAAAATAGGAATATAAAAACATAAAACACAAAGAAATGATGCACAGCAAGCGGCCTTATTGCTTAAACGATCTCGTCCAGGCAACCATGAGGTAAATGGTAGGTGGTTTATTTGCATTGGCACGCTTACATATATAAGTACCTATTAAATATTGATTTAATTACTAACCCTAGGTGAAAAAGAAGAGTGTTTGTGTAATAGTAGAGTCTTTTTTCTGTGGTAGCTACAAACGGATTACGTATTTTAATGCGTCTTTTTAATATAATGAACAGGTGGAGACTGTGGGAGATAAATATATGGCAGTATCAGGACTTCCGGAATATAAAGTAGGCCACGCCAAACACATTTCGCTGCTTGCTCTCGAGATGATGGATCTTTCTAGAACTGTCACAGTGGATGATGAACCTGTGGTAAGATAATAATTCCTTTAATATTATAATAGTGAAAGTTTGGGTTTGAAAGTTTTGGATGTTTGTTACTCAATCATGCCAGAACGGTTCAACGGATCTGGATGAAATTTGACACAGAGATAGATTATAGTCTGGAATAGTACATAGATTACTTTTTATCCTGGAACAATGTACGAATCCCGTGGAATAGATTTCTTTTTGTTTTTCATAAGAGACGAGTTGCTCGTTATCTATAATTTACGCTTTTGTTATGTTTCTCAGATCACTAACCAAGAAACTAAAATGAACGGTTTATATTAGATACAAATATACTAAAATTCTTTCAAGTGTGATAGTAAAGATGTAGTCTACAGTATTTATGATTTGATTAAACTTTTGGTAACTCAATAGATTTTATTAACTGTACCTATATTGTATTCGCTACCGGAATCGATTATATTACGAATTTATTTAAAAACAAATTTATTAATAAATATAGGAAGAATATTATTGAATTTGATCATGCCAAAAGCTACATATTATAAATAAAAAAACGTCCATAATAAAAAAAGTCAGACCGATGGCTAAGACTAGCTTATCATTAGCTATCACTTAATTATATTCTTTTTACCCAACTTGGCTCTCAATATCTAAAAACCTAGGCTCTCAATATCTAAAAACGTTCGTGTTTTCTACTATAAGCTATCGAGTATCAGATTAGTACTCCTTCACGCTTTGGCTGACAAGAAAAAGACTGATCTCAAGTAACACATAAGCTACTGCTAGTCATAAAATGCCAAAATACAAAATATAGTTACGCTAGTAATCTATACATATAATAAAATTCTAACTAAGCCGAATCTGCACATTATTATTTTTTTGAAAAATTGAAATAGTCATTATTATCGATACAAAGGTCGAATCTATAGTTTTTATCTGTCTGTCTGGGAACGCATCACGACAAACCACTGGACAGATTTTGATGAAATTTTGTATGAGGTGTTTGGTTTTCGGGTCCACATATAGGATACTTATTACTGCGAGAAAATATCTCATCCCTGAGAAATCTATACTAACCGTTAAAACGTAACTAGGGACGAACTCAAGCGGAGTGAGGGTGAGTCGCTAGTACGTGTATTCGGCCCTTTTTAACGTCCCACTGCTGGGGGTGAGCTTCCCTTCAGTACGAGGGGAATGTGACCATAGTCCACCACGCTGGCCAAGATATATACGCTAGTAAATATATAAATATTATCATTGTATCCCCAGGGTATAACAATAGGTATCCACTCAGGAGAGGTGGTGACGGGTGTGATCGGGCACCGCATGCCGCGCTACTGCCTCTTCGGCAACACCGTCAACCTGACCAGCCGCTGCGAGACCACCGGCGTGCCCGGCACCATCAACGTCAGCGAGGATACTTACACGTGAGATACTTTTTATTTACCACTGAGATACTTTATCGTCGTCGCCATGCTTTTTATCCAAATGACTAATTTACTGAAAGTTTTATTACATAATTATTTTATATAATAAATATTAGAATAAAGATTATTAAATAAATAATATTAGAGTATTTAATAAAGATTTCTTTATAAAATAGAAGAAAAAACAGTCTACTGTAAAATACATTAAGCATTGGTTGTTTGAACAAATAAGCAATAATGCGACGTTATGGTGTTTTTTTTTTATAAACTAGTTTTCTTATTAAAATGCAGTGTTGTTTATAATTAGGTCATTGTTTAAGTCTAGATATTTCTTTTGTCATATAATGTACCACTGTTAGAATGTATGCTCTGTTAGCGACATACATATTATGTAACAAAAAAGCAAATATGGGATATTATAAGGGAAGTCAAATTAGATGATTTGATTTTCTTTAATTGGATTTGATTGATATCAGCGATGGTGCTTACGCCTAACATAATTGTTAGCTTTTTTATAGTATTTTTTTATTTGGTGCTTAGAGAGAAAAAACCAATTTAATCTTCAATTTTGGGATCTTCTAAGGTGATGGTGTAAAATGATGTTTGTTATTTTTTTATTCGTATAACAAATTTTTAGAAAAACGGTCTATTGAAATGCGTGCAGTAGTTCTTGACTGCGTTATGTACAGACAAGATAGCACAAACTTTGCAGATGATTTTATGTACGTAAAAGTTCGATGTAGGATTGAGGTATTTTTTTTATTGACACAGTATTTTAAAATTATATGACTAATACATACTTAAGTACAAAGAACTAATATTAAATTTATACACAATTAAATAAAAGAATATTCGTCATGCAAATTTTATTTCAAATATCATAATTCATAATCGAGTTTAATCGTCCAACAAATCTAAATACTTCTTCAACGCTGGAGGTATTGGCAACTTTTGTATACCAAAAGGTAGTTCAAAGTTATTCCACAACATTTGCCTAATTTGACACCTACACAAGTGTTTTAGTTCAACCGGTTTCAAGCCACACCGTGATGATGGAATTAAATGATCTTCCAAAATATCCCCATATTTTTCCAACGCAATCTTTCTTTGATAATTATAGTCATCTGGCAATTCCAAATGCTTTAACGCTGCTTTATCAACTGTTAGATCAACTCTTGGAACAGCTCTTAAAGCTAGTTTAAGACAAGAAACCAATTCATAAGGATACTTCCTGTTATACTCCTTCAATCTGTCCAAAATTGATTCAATAGGGTTGGTTGACACATGATCAGCTGTTATTCTAGCTCCAAATCGCAAAAGAATCATAAGCATCTCAGAAGCTCCCATTTGTATGACTACTCTAACCGGGGATGCCTTTCCACAGCTTTCCAACGGAACGTCGATAAAACGATAGGTTTTTTTACCGTCTTTGTATTCTAAGCTAGCGTTTGTAGCGTGGTCTAGGAAAAATACAAGGGCGTGAACGTTTTCCTCTTTATCGGTGAAATCTGATTTCCATCCAGCCAAAAAGTATGGAGCTGATGTACCGAATATAGCTCCTGTAATATAAAATTACGTTTTATTATTATTATTTTAAAGTTTGTTATTTTTTAATAGGTTGGTCCTAATATTTTTTTCTATTGGTAGTGTATTAGATCAAAATACATTTATTTTATGTATCGGATGTTTAAATATTCTCAACTGATATTATATTATTTTTGATTGTGCAAAGATTTATTGTGGTTGTTCATTCAAACTATGGATTCTAGCATTTCATAACTTTTTAGTACTCATACCGAAAAGTGCCCTGCTATTTATTAGCTATTCCATGTTTTTGTTATATTTATAGTGACAAAAATGTGGAATTGATATGGAACTATAGAGTAGACTTAAAGAAAATGGAAAAAAGAACCTCGTGGCAAATCTATTTGCTTTGTCTTGTATAAAGATACTGCATCGATAAAGTTATTCAATTACAATACATACTCGTACATATGAATGTACTAGTAAAAACAAAAAAAAATATCTCATGAGAAGCGTACTTCTTTCCGGGATAAAAAGTAGCTTATGTGTTATTCTGACGTAGCTACATTATTGTTAAGTTTCATTAAAATCTATTCAGTAGTTTTTGCGTGAAAGAGTAACAAACATCCATATACTCGTGTCTATACATCCAGACATCTATACATCCTCACAAACTTTCGCATTTATAATATTAGTAAGATTCTCAAAAAAGCTACAAATAGACCAAAACTGGTCGACGTAGCTAGGGCTGACCTCGGCACCACACCCAACATAATAATAAATAAGATTCTCAAAAGAAATTTTTACGAGACTTGAACCCGCGATTCATGGCAGATAGTGTCTGTGTTATATTCTCTCTCTAAAGTCTAAACTAAATCTCAGTAATGTATAGTAGATTAGAGTTAACAATATTTACCCAAAAATATCCTTTCAAAAGTACCCTCGCAAGCGTACATTTCGTCTAATAAGGCGGCAACTATACCATTATCTTGCAAGCTCCAATCGAACGCAAGTTTCATAGCTATGTACAGCATATTATGGTACTTCCCCATAAGGCATACATCCCCATTGTCACTTTTACACCGGTTATGGTACCTCAGGGCGGATGACACGAACGATTTACATGTTGCATTATCAGACCTGTTCTGTCCTAAAAACATAAAAAAAATACTTATTTTGACATTACATTTATACTTTATAATATTTACGCGAATTTTCGATGATACATTACGAAACTTGTTAATTTCATAAAAATAGTTTCAATGAACACGAAAATAGTTTTGTACAGTTCAGTGTCATGGAAGTCTTTACTTTTGACTTCGCAATGGACATTGGGTTTAACAAATAGAACAACAACAAATAGACAGATATATGACGCCTTTGAGACGTCTAAAACCTTAATCTCTCCCGTGACCATGATTGCTGTAATGCATTCGAAACGTCGGGAACCAAAAATCAAAATAAATCCGTGAATAATCGCCAAAACACAGATTTATGTAAAATGTCAAATATTCACGTAAATCTAAGAAAATATTAGAGATATACTTTCACATTGATAATATTATAAAGTTTTTTTTTAATATGGATTTTATCATATTTGTATGTATTTGCTTTTAAATTATAATATACCTTTAGCACATCCTGCAATAACTGTATTAAAATACTCAACCAGTTCTCGCCTTTTAAATCTTTGGTTTAACCCGTCCCGTTTGATATTGCAGAACACTTCGTCGAAGTAAAAGTCCATAAACGAATCCATTGCTCACAAAAATTTAGCACTCAAATATAAATAATTAAAAAACACATTTTGTCTTATAATTTTTTAGTTTTCTAACTGACATACAACGTTAGATACGTCCAAAAATTATTATTTTGAAGTAAAACTAGGAAATTTAATAGTTTGCTGAGTGTTTTATATTTTTTCTGTATAAAAACTGTTTTTTACTCGACAGCTGGTCTAGTAATAGACGTAAATCACTATGTTTTCCCCTTGATAATGTAGGAATACGTATAAGTGTTGTTTAATCTCCTTAACTTTGGTTACAGGTGGGAAGCCATATTAAATAGTGTTTTGTCGGTTTTTTTATATGTCATAGTTTTATGTAACTACTAGCATTGCTCGCGGCTCCGCCCGCGTTCACGTGACCGAAAACCAAATTCTTAAGTTTTACATATTAGTATACTCTTACATTGCAGTTTTTGTATTTTTCTCAGAAATGAGACATCTTCCCGCGATAAAAAGTATCCTATATGTTGACCCGGATAACCAGCTATCACAATACCAAATTTCATCCAGTTCCAGTAGTTTTTCTGTGATGCATTAACAGACAGACAGACAAAAATTCTAAAAACTATAGATTCGGCCTCTGTATCGATAATAATGTCTATTTCAATAAGATTTTCCAAAAAATATTTAATGTACAGATTCGACTTGGTTACAATTTTATTATATGTGTAGAAGTTATTTTCGATTTATGATGGAGATACTTATTTTAAATAAGTTATTTACTCGCTTGCTTTCTTAGTTTTTCTTAATTTTTATACTTAGCTCAAAATAATTATTTGAGCTAAATAGAAAAATTAAGAAAGATTAGCTCAATAGATTATGATATAACTTAACTATATTATATGTATTACATTTATGAGGCAGTGGGTAGCCACTGGGCATCGCACTCACTTAGGAAACCAAGTGAAGCAGGTTCAAATCCCAGGTCTTGCACCTCTGATATTTTCACTGTGTGAATCATTTCCAACATGATTACCACTTGTTTTACGGTGAAGTAAAACACCGTGAGAAAACCTGCATATTTAAGAAAATCTAGCACGTTTTTAAAAGACATGCTCAGTCTGCAATATTACATTTTAATTAAAACTATTGTTTGGACTGTTCTCGTAATAAAAGGTGCTTTGTCCATCCCAACATCGATTTGCTCGAACCAAGTCAAGGCAGAAATTCAATTTCTATTGTACATAAGTCTATTGTTTAGTTTGTTTTTTTTTCTTGGGGATTTAAACCCAAAATAGCATTTTTTTTCTATATATAACGAAAAATTATCAAAATATTTTGTATTATATTTTATTTTCTTTTATATTATAATATTTCAGTTATCTAATGCGAGAAGACAATTATGACGAACAGTTCGAGCTCACTTATCGTGGACACGTCTCTATGAAGGGCAAAGCTGAGCCGATGCAGACCTGGTTCCTGACTAGGAAGAAGGTTTAAGTATCAAATAGCACTTTTTTACTTTCATTTTTAGTGTGTTTTACTATTGAAAATTGTCGTATCTGATATATTCCTCTCGATAATACTAATATTCTATGTTTCGATTGTTTGGTCTATCACATATAAAATATTACCATATTTAATAGTTTCTTCTATAAAAATCATAATAGTGGAACAGTCAAAAGATTTCTTTTTGTACCTACAAATGAAGACGTTCTCGTCTTACTTATATTATGCGATAATTTTGCCGATTTTGAGGCGACTTTTGCGATTTTTCAAGTGCAATTCCATTAATATTTGAAGATATTTTATTATTGTGTTAAAAATATTATTTTAATGTTATATTTGCTGTATTAGTCTAATTGAATACTTGCATTAGCAAACAATGGTTTTAAAAGTCTTTAAGCTTTCATGATAACTAGCAATATTTATATGATGTAAAATGGGATTTTTACCAGGTTTATCACTTACCGAAATATTGTGAACTCATAAAAGTATATGATAAACATGGTGGGTGTTTATCATACCATTTACATCATAGAAATAATGATTGTATAACTCACATACGACTTTGTTCGTGGGATATCGTTCTGTTTATTCAGTAGGTACTTTTATTCAGCAAAGACAACTATTATAGCATAGAAAGTAAAGTGTACTCTAAATTAAATTAGTAGAATTTTAGATAAAGGTCGCGTCAAATTCAAGTAATTTATGTCAGTATAAATGTTCTATATTTTCTCGAATATAGTCATCGATTTTATACATTATGCATGAAATTTCACTTTAAATTAATGTATTAAGATCATTCAGTATTTATATATTATATACGTGTTTTATTGTAATTATAACCATTATACAATTATACTTTCAATCATTATTTTTACAGTATAGGTATTATATGTATATGATAAATAAAATATTTCAGCAACTATTATCATATAAAAATCAAGATTGTTTAATATAATTTTTTCATAAAATTATAGTTATTTACAGCTTAATTATTATTTAAATATTATTTTTTATATAAACTTAACTAAATCTAATAATTATATAAAATACGTGAAAAGTGTGGACGTGACCTAATAATACTCGTAGTATAGATATAATCGAGGCCTATAGTGGCCTAATTTTCTTCACTATTAGTAAAATTATATCAACATTATATTAAATATAGATTTTGTAGTATTTTAAATAAAACAATGTTTTCGGATTTTTTCGCGGACTTATTTTGATTTTTGGTTCCTAGAGTTTCGTCTCAAAGGTCAACATATAGTTGTTACAGACAGCTCGTACCCACAAGATTACAAAATAATTTCAGATAATACAAAATTTTGTATGTTGGGAACCAAAAATCTAAATAAATCCGCAAAAAAATCCGAAAGATAGTTTTATTTAAAACGTCAAATATTCGCGTATAATCTAAGAAAGTATTATGAGTTTGTAGTACCTACTCAATAATTAATATGAAACAAATCGAAAGAAATGTTTAAATATATATAAAAAATAGAAATATTCTCCTATTTAAACTATATACTTAATCAAATAGTTTATATTTTATTTACTATAAATAAGTATATTTGTTTGTTGCTGTTTCCAAAAGCCTAGAGTCTAATTAGCAAAACTCGATTGATTATTATAATTCATATTATATATAGATATAATTAAAGGTATTTGTTATGTACATTAAAATATATCGCATTTTCTTATAAAATCACTCACAGCATCTAGTCTAGCTAGTAGGTGTCTATAAGTTCATATGGGATTGCTTCTTATAAAGAAATAAAGATAATTATGGTGATTGAAAATAGAATTAATTTTATGCTGGCCCTATTGATACAGTAACTGTACGAATAATATATATTATTTTTATTAGTCCGGCTATTGATTATTAAAAAAAAATATATTTTCACTTAACAATGAGGGTAAGAGAAAATGTATGGGTATACAAATCTAGGACCGCCATCTTTAATTTTAGCTTTTGAAAGAGACACAAAATATATATTTATCTCGTTCTCATGCTTCCAAAAATTAAAGGAGCGTAGCCTCAACCTACAAATCCAAGTCGGGCCTATCGTATAATCGAAAATTAAAACTTACAAATAAATAATGTTTTAAAGTAGCTGGACAAATAATAATTATATATTATTTATACAGTTACTGGATTAATAGTCACATCGTTAACTTTTATAATATAAGATAATTTATTATACAATTAATTGAAATCCAGTTATTGTATATTTACTAAGAAATCAAACAGACAAAAAAGTATGTGTATAGAAAAAATATGAGGCACATAGAAACTTGTTTTGTTTTATCATAAAATAAACTATTCAAAGCTTATATTTCATATTTTATAAATGTTTTTTTTTAATATTTACTTCATCGTTAAGTTTTATGAATAAATTCTAGTCATTTGTTAAAATCAAGCTTTAATTTTATTGTTTCAAAATCCACTGATATTAGGTATTAATGTACTGTTCTTAATCTAGTCATATTTAATAAATGTTTAGTGAACATATATTGTTTTATTTATCATCCAATATTATTTATTTATTGAGTCCTTAATAAACCGGATTACTATTAATTAATTATTATTCATGGTTAGTATAGGGTAGACCGGTAGACTATATACTCGTGCCTTAAAAAATAAAATATTATCCATTACTTGCCCTTACTCGATTTCCGGGATAAAAACTACCCTACGTCATTTCCAAGGTCTCAAACTATCTCCATACCAAATTTTATCTAAATCGGTTCAATGGATTTGTATTGTTGAAAAGGTAAAAGACAGACAGAGTTACTTTCGCATTTATAATATTTGTATGGATGCGAAAGTTTGTACGTATGTGAAACTCCTGTAGTCAGAGTAGATCGCTAATAATTAATTAATTATATATTCTAGCTCAATTGGAAAGGTTGTTATTTTTTATACTTAATTATTATTATTCAAAGGCAGAGATCTTTTTTCGATTTAACGGAAAATTTCGGATGATGAGACAGTAAAAATAGCTAAAAATCCATATTATAAACCATAAACGGATCTTCTAAACATTAACACGACTTCAATATACAAAACTTAAAGGCAAGGCTGTATATTACGACAAATACCTAAAAATAAGCGGTTTGGAATGTCGACTGACGACCTCCACCGTCCGGTTGTCCGGCAAGATCGAAACGTTCTGAGAATATCGCCAAAATCAAAATCTGTGGTACTTAGTTATGAACCTTTCTCTTTGTAATATTTTATATGCTATCATTTAAAATAGAGAACACGTCTCATCTCTCAAATTCTGCTGTTGATAAAAGCACCTATAATATTATTGATTCATAAAGTCATGCATTGTAGCCCGATTATATATTATTCAGCCGTTTTAACGTCCCACTGCTGGGCATGGGCCTCCCTTCAGTACGAGGCGGATCAGGCCATAGTCCACCACGCTGGCCAAGTGCGGGTTGGCGGACTTCACATGTTTTTCGAAAACTTGCTAAGTTCTATCAGACATACAGGTTTCATCATTCTGTTTTCTTCACCG